TYCYTTTTTTCAGTATTTTCTTCCTCCGGGCTTTCATTAGTTTTACCAGTTTGCACTTTTATCTACATTGTATATTTCTTTATTATTTCATGTTTTTTTTTTAACCTTTTTAACATTTCTTTGGTTTAATTAAGGTTTTCTTTGCTTGAATCTTCGTTCTATATATGATTATGCACTGAGTTTGCCTATTWATGCTGATTTAAAGCTAAGAAATACTGAAATGACAGTTTCATAAAGAACTATGTTAAACATTTTACATATTTATTTGTAAAAGTTGAAGATCATGAATGACAGTTGGGCATTTGGTTTGTATTTTAAGTAAGGCAAAAAGATTTGCGAAATACCAYGAAAGCCCTTGGGCTGGTCAACTAATGGAAAGGTGCCTAAAAGAGATTGCTTCACTAAAAGGTGCACCTGTAGGGAATATCAGAGAAAAGCYCATAGTAACAGCGTATTGCACGCCAAAGAGTTAAGAATGGATAATAACTAAGATTGAACAAAAATTACCGTTGTAATGGCAATCACATAGCTAGTACAAYAGCTTGAAATCGATCAAGGGTCTGGACTGAAGTGTAATTTTTTAGACTTGAGAATATTAATGAACGGTCTGCTATTTTTTTTTTTCTTTGCTCTTTTTCAATTAACCGGTGTCATTTCCTTGCCAAATCAATATAGAGACCAATTTGTACTTTTGCAGCTGAAAAACATGGCTTTTCATAAGAGYTGCTTTAAATAAGATAAGTGTGACAAAGTGACATTTTTTATTCCTTTCCCAGTCTCGGCTATCACCATCGCATCACGATTCATTCTAGTTCATGTTCTGGCTAGAGCGACCACGAGTGATTAAAGATGTCATGTAGGACCCATTTTGTTTGTTTTTCCTTGGACGCAGAGCCTTTCTGAAATCATGTTTGCCCACAATGTATATGATCGGGTTAGTGAAAGACGTCATAAATCGCGGGTAGTAAAAGAAGACGTACTCAACCCAAGCAGGTAAGGATGACTCGGCCAGCTCTTGTAGTGGTTCGTAGAAAAAGTATGGAAACCAGAAAATGACATAGAGAACGGTCATCACTATGAATACAATGGCTGACTTCCACTGAGCCGGAATATCAAAAGCGCTTTGTTTCCTGATGGTCAGATCCGATGGCAAGTTTTGTCGTTTGATTTGTTTCTCGTGGTAACGTACAACGTAAAATATGCGGATGTAACAGAAAATCATGACAAATAGCGGCAAGGCAAAAAACACTCCAATGGTTACAGACTGATAGACGCCAATTGTTGTATGAATATCTTGCATTTCGTCCTCACTCATCTTTCTTTGCTCAGCTTCTTCGGTGGTTGGCCAGGATAGTTGGACAAGAGCAGCTATGCCTGCTAAACTCCATACAGTGATGATGGCAATGCAGGCTCTTGTTCTTGTAACGATAGTGCGGTATCGTATGGCATGAACAATTGCTGCGTAACGATCAAGAGTAACCACTAACAGGTGTAGTACTGTGGAAATGCCGGTGAACCGCCAAAATATCTTAGTTGTATAACACAACAGTTCATGTGTGGCYGAGCAAACAAGATTGAAAGGAATAGCTAACATGCCCGTCAGAAGGTCGGAAATCGCCAAGCTTACCAAAAACGTRTTGGTGATGTTCCTCAGACGGTGGTTCTTRCCAAACAGCACGAAGACTACACCATTGGTGATAATGATGAGTATTGCAAGAATGATGGGTAGTGTATCTACTATGGCATCAAAACCAAGTGGTACTTCTTCTTCATCATCAGTTTTGTTGTACAGACTACCGTTGTGGTCCATGACGGTGCAATCTTTGTCAAGCACTATTCATTGCTTCRTTACACTTAAACCTGCCAAAAGCAATAGATTTTGAAATACGTCACAATTAGAAAGTGACGTYAAGCGTCCAAAGATCAAAAGTTAGTTTATTATAAGTAAGCATATAATCATGATATAAAGTGTACTTGCGATGGTGGTAATGGCGTTCAATGATTASCAATTGCCTAGAAAGGCTTTTAAGGTATAATCAGAAAAAAAGTCTAAAGAGAATTTGCCAAAGTTATCAAATGGAAATTGATTTGAAAAGTTGTAATTGATTTAACTCTTATTGTCACTTCCGCCCTATTATATATACTCCTCGTAGATTACTTTACAAATACAAATAAATAGATAGCTGACATGTTTAGAGACATATTTCTGCGTATGTAATGTTTCAGGAAAAAATATAATAAGGGCTTATTAAATGTTTAGCAAGATGGAATTAAGAGTTTTTAATCAAAGTTTACGGGAAATTTTCACTGAGCTATAAATTCAACACACTTATAAAGATATAAACATAGGAAATTATGTTCTAGGAAGAACATGTAACAYAGACTTTGTCGGCAAGCATCAAAGTGTTTGTTGATAGCGTACAGAAATGATTAACAGACATCATTCTTTGTAATCTCATGTAGAACCCACTGTAAACAATCTATAAAAATATTGATCTCATTGAAGCAAATTTCCATCTTTTACGAAAAAAAAAAACAGTTTTTATTTAAAAGCTTTTCTCTTGTTTCCATTTTGTCAAGTTATTTTTTATTTTGTCAGGTTTTSTAGAAAGTAGCTGTAGCAGAAGTAGCTTTAGTAGTATAGTAAGGCATTAAAATGCGTGATTATCAATGTTTGTGAAATCGTATGCTAACAAAATTGGTTGAGTACGCACAAAATCCTTTTCCCCCACTGTTAAATGAATTCAATTTTATGTAATTTCTTAAAAAGTCAGCTTTTTCAGATAGAATTCTATCTTTTCATATGTTTATCTGTTGATTTGTGTCCTTTTTTTAGGTATTTAGTTGTTTTGAGTTTGTTGGCTCGTCCATTTGCCTGACTTACTGAACTATTTCTTTGTTGCTTGCTCATATGTTTTTTTTTTCTTTTTTTGTGGTGTCACGTTGGATGGCATTACCATTGTATAACAAGTGCAATATATGTTGTGATAAACAATGTATTTGCCTTTTCTTAATCCATCATAACTGAGATACATTATCTTCAAAAGGTGGATTTTTCACCAGTACATTAAACCCGAACGCGGCTCTAGGCCAAGTACCTGAATGGCTACACGGGATAAGGTCTTGTATTAACATGAAATGATTGCAATGGACGYTTCACTGTCAATATTCAACAAATAGATTTGAGATATCACAACGACCATCTTTCCGCCGTTTATCTTCATTGTAAAGGATTTTCTTTTAAAATCACGATTAATCTGTACCATTTTCACTTGCAGTGAATGAATATTTCTTAATTCAAACATTACTGTCAGGACGTCTTTTCTAGTGCAACATGTTTAAAATACGTTGTTTTTTGATATCCGTACTTATTTACAGAAGGAATGGTAATTGTTTGTGAGATATATTATTTCAATATTATTCAATTTTCTTTCATGGACAACTTTTGTTTAACAATAACTATTGGTAGATTAGAAAGACCCACTAAAAATTAGAATCATACAATGGTGCACTTACCGACCTACAGAAGCGTACYAACCTGGCGCAAACCGAGAAACTAAATCCTTGCTGACTGTCCTTAATTATATATTATACCGACGATGACGACACTGTCACTATAGGCAACAGCAAATATTCACAGTTTGATTGTATTATCTCCTCTCTCTCCCTCTCTCTGTTATTTATTTTTGGTCGGTAGACTAGCCGTTTTCGTTATCTTTTATCGTTTCTAGAACTTACATCAATTGCCCATTTGTTTATACCAATGAATACTGTTACGTTTAAAACGGCAATTGTGTCAAAATTCACTATTGTTGTCTCTCTTTGATTGTTCAGCTTTATTTATTTTTCTTTTGTTATTCAAAAAAGAAAAGACCAGTGCAAGGTTTTTGTTATACTTCTATCGGATTGATTTCTATCAAATTAGAGTGACCGTATTGCTGTGTGTGCCTGCAGCTTTYCACCTTTTTAAAGTGTTCATGCCAAAAMCTTTTTTAMATTTTTTTAATTCTTATCATGCGAAACGGTATAAAAATGGTTAGAGTAAAATACTTCCGTGTTTGTACACATTGTTTCAAAATTAAAAACAATTCGTACACCGACGAACAGTTGATACATTGCCGCTATTTATATCTAAGTATTTTGTGGCGAGCTGGCTTTCATTCAGATTTGCAGCTGGAATATTTTAATGTTTTGATGGTATTATATATATTATATTTTCTTTTAAATCACCAGCATAGGATATCTAACGGTCATTCATTGTAAATTGCCTGATGAGTGTGGGTCAAACCATACGAAACAGGTCTGTAGCAATAAATCAATGGATCATATTCGAAGCGTTTAGCTCAGTATTTTATGTATTATATTGTATATATATGATTAATTAAATWGCTGTCATTGTCGTCAGTGATTATAATGAAGGGAAATTTGGGATCAAAAATTTGGACAAAGTTTTTACCCAGAAGTCATTCATGAATTCCTTTTTCACTCAARTAAAAGGCATGATCTTAAACGAAAGTCTCATTTGAAACTTCATGGCTTAACCACCAGCTGCCGAGAAGGGAAATTTCAACGAACTACTTTTRTTGTTCATGTATTTATTAGAAGGCAAACATGTTGTTAGTTGATAACGACAAAACATCTCCACAACTKACGGATGGTTCTAGAATAGTCAGTCTTCAAAAAACTTGGATTGCAAAAAAACAACAGTTGCATATCATTGTGTCCGTGTGAGACAAAAATCATTTTGACAAGATAGCAATAAAATCAAAAGTAAAATGAAATATTAATGCATCAAAGTACTTAAAGATGATTGTATGGCGGTATTGGTTGGTTCACAGTTCTAATATAATGACATATCGACACAGACATAARGTCTTTAGGGAATGATGAAATGTTTCTTCTTGTCGTTATTACAAAGAAGTAATGTTGGCCTTGTTTCAATATTTTGTATGTTTTGGAGTGGATTCATAATGAATGAGAGAAGGTAATTTTAATCTTGTGATATGTGAATCACAACCCTTCCATTCCAACAAAAAATGCACCGTCTGGTTTTCATATTCTCTTTCTCTTTACTTGCWCCTGAACTTTTTTTAATTGTTTTTTTGTATTTTCTATCAGTCAAGCCGACGATAAAAAGCAGGCTAGGAGTTTAAGTCGAGTTCGCATTTTTGATAGCACCTTGCAGGGCTGAAGGGTCACGATCACTGYGCAGATATCTCATATTGTTCTCTTGCTGTGTTTGTCTTTTTTTTTTTTCATCTTGATGTAGTCATCAGTTGCTTAGTTGTTGTCTTTCCCACAAAGTAAAAAAATATGAAATACTTCTTAGTGTTCCAGTAGCGTTATAATCCACCTATCACAATTGCACTTTCATCCGGCGTCTATCTAGTAGCTTTGTGGCCAAARTGCCGTCTGTTTAATTGAACCTTTTTATGTTATGCTGCTTCTCAATGTGCATCGAAACTACTCCTTCGGCAAACCAAACCACTAAAAACTATGTCTTTTCATACTTATCTTTGCATTTTTCACTTAAAAGATTATAGTAGAAACATGGAAGAAAATAGATCAATGACTGATAAGATTACTAAAACTGACAACTTGCAGGATGCCATGATTTCAGACCAAAGGAGTCAGCGTTTAAGTTCTCTTCAGGATCAGATGCGGTTGGTGAGATGATAATCTTATAGCATCATGCACCGAYATTCGACTATTTGAGAAAACGATCATCGTGCATCAAACCGACGAGATATGCGTATGCACGCTTCATACATCCTTGTAGATTGGGGATGTTTCTATTGAACTGCCGTGCTAAAAGTTTCTCATTTTGGCAGAAAACTCGTATCAGTCGTTTACTCAAATGATTTTTTTGGAATTACACCGCGTGATTTGAAATGTTGAACTGACTATCTGGCGACAAAATAGGCGGTTCCATTGAGAATATTATGCAGTGAGCACATCTGTTACCAAAGAGTACAGCGGTAAAATTTGGGCTTTTTTGACGCTTCTTTCTAATCTTTTGTAACGATCGAAAATTAAAGAACAGTTCCTTAGTATTCTATGTTGCACACATTATTTCACGCAATCCATGAAATTAATTAGTACTTTATATAGGTCACGTGTTATTTGATAATAATAGCTAATAACGAATTACTTATAATTGGGAAATTTGCATAAGTGAACACTATTCGAACATTTCGAACCATTACTTCATCATTGTGTTCATTAGTATGGATGGGTTCACCATGACCACTAGCGCGTCAACATARTTGGCTTCATAACTCAGTTGGTAGAGAACTGCACCGGCATCGCAGAGATCATTGGTTCGATTCCCATTGAAGACCGAAATTTTTCAGGCGATCCATACATTTATTATTAATAATAGCCAAAATKATTATTTACACTGCGACGATCATATTCATTACACATCCACTACAAGGTATTCACAGGAGGTCATAAAATCAATCCTGTCTACATACTGTCATGTATAAGAAAACTGACCAATCCGGATGGGTTTTGAATAAACTGCCATAGCGTTTGTTCATCATAATATATTATCGATGCGGATTAATACACTAATCTTGTAGTCAAAACAGACCGTTAGACAGAATTCACTGGTCTATTTTCTCCCATCTACATCTTGCTACAGGGTCGGATCCAGGGTTTTCCTCAGGGAGGGGTGCGGGGCACTCAGTATGGGGTGCACCCCACAAAAATCATTACCATGACGATACAAATTAAGGAAAGTATTGAAAGAAATAGATCTCTGGAGAGGGTGCACAAACCCTGCAACCACCAGCTGGATCCGCCTCTGTGCTATCATTATTATTAGAATAAAGATAGAAATGTGAATGAATGTTGTGCGTATTGTGTTGTATGAGCTAAAAAAATCATTTAATCCTTGCACACCACTTGATKATATTTTAAGGATTCGTGACAATTTGATTTGTTTGTTTGTATTTTTTACAGTAAACTTCGRCAAGAGTTTCAGTATTGGTACCCAGTCGACCTCCGCGTGTCTGGCAAGGACTTGGTACCTAATCACCTGACATATTACCTCTACAATCACACAGCTGTTTGGGCCGATGAAAAAGAGAAGTAAGTTTCATAAGTAAGTTTCGTTTTTTATGAGGATTGAGCTTATGAACTACTTTTTCAGGGAAGGGATCGATHGTTTCGTAGTAACGTCCTCTGTTTGATTTAAATGGTGTAAGATGGCGAAATTTGAGCCCTTATGAAGCAGCACTGAAAACAGTGTTAATATGATGCTGTCATCAGTGCCTCAGAACCGCATGTCATTTGGCAAGATGGCTTGGTCTTGAGATGATTTTGCATTTCATCAGTACTGTTTTTATGAATAATTAAAAAGCTTCACCCTCCGCAAGTGTCTCGTATCTTGAGAAATGAAATGACCTTACTTTTCAGATTGACTTCAAATATAATTTAAACTCAGGCGCTTTTTATAAGACATATTAATTATCCCAAGCAATAGAGCTTGTTTGATCGAAGACTAGCGGTGTATCTTTTCATCTATATATTTACAACGGAAAATTTCCCACGGACACGTCTATATTATGGACACCTCTATATTACTTATTCCGGGTGTTAGATTCCGACAATTTATTCGTTAATAACACATTATAATGTTTTGCAAGTATGTTCAATATCAAGACAGAAATCCATTACAATGCGTACACCGTTCAATTTGAAATTTATCTGGAGTTGTAAATTGAAGTTCGTTCCAAGAAATATCAAAAACAGTTTTATTCAAATGACTTCGTGCCTTTGTCTTAAATTTAAAAAAATCGCGCGCTTCAAAGGTTGTAAATTGATGTAAATATGATGTAAGTGTCCAAAATTCTGTAAATTTAATGGAAATCATTTACATCAAATTTACAGAATTTTGGACACTTACATCATATTTACATCAAATTTACAACCTTTGAAGCGCGCGATTTTTTCCAGTTTTAAAACTGCACAACATGTATATGGGATTGACTTRTATCTATTTATGTATATGCTATTTATTTATTTATATTTTTATATGAACACATTTTTTCAAAGTGTTCATCGAGGGATACACATGTTTTCTGAAAAACGTTGACCCAAACATAAAATCAATAATTAATAATTAAAAAAAGAATCAGTTYTAAATATTTCATTGAAATTTGTGCTTAAAGTTGAACAATTCGTCGAGCTTTGCCTCGGACTTTCTCCATCTACTGTGWTAAAACTGCTTCAACATGACTTCTTCATACTTCTTTATATAAAGTAAAAATTGATATTAAAAAACTAATTTTAAGAATCACCTTACTTATTTTTTCGATTTTTTTATTTGGGTCGACGTTTTTGCGAATAAGTGTGCAGTTATTTATATGTGTGTATAATGTTTTTTTTATATTTCAGCTTCTATTTTTTATATACATTTTTCATCTATCTATACGTTTTTATTTTGGCATTCTATTTTATTTTTTTCTCTCTCGTCGCTTGTACATGGCATGCATTATTAAAGGTCTTTATATCACGAAGTAGGGTCTGACAATACAGTACGCTAGTACGAAGATAATTACTATTGAAGTTGCAAGTGTAATAACGTGCTTCTAGTCTGAAGTGTAATAATGAACTATTTACCTAGCTAAAACGTAATAACCACATCGTGTATAAAGGTTGGGTATAACACGGTATACAACAAGCTTCTTGTTTTGTTCCTGTTTTGTCTTGTATTATCCGACACTTGATAAGGTGACATTTAATGATTGTGCACAATTCAATTACTTAAGCAATATAGATGTAATAGTACGCGMGCTCTGATTGGTCTAACAGCGTGATTTATTTCGCCGGTAAATGCACGCTCGCGAGCGAATGACCCCTTCTTGTACTTTTTTTCAAGATGCCTGACGCCCAACTTCCTACGTTTGAGTTTTCAATTGGCGATTACTTCGACAACAACGACGAAGAGTTATTAAATGCCTGTATTTCAGCAGAAGTGCAATYATCAGAAACTAAAGAAACAGAAAATAGTGAGAATAAACGCAGTGCAGAAGTAGAAAGTGAAACAATTACAAAATGGCAGCCAAAACAACAGCAAAATAGCATGGATCGCTTGATTTAGATTTTCTTAAGTAGCTCTTATACAACTACGAATAAGTTGTAAATATTCTCCCTAACGTAGTGCAAATATAGAAACAAATCAAATTCCTACACAGTCGACAAACCATAGATTTTTGTCCATGTAAATTCTRACAATTGAAACCAGGTAAGCTTACTACAAGCTAAAGTTTGAGTTGAAAAACTGAGTAAAATTTATTAACGAAGAAGAATTAAACACGATTCTTTGAATTATATAATTTGACTTCCCTTAAAGCTATCTTAATCAGTTAGCGAAGCGAGCTGAATAAACATTTTCCACAGAAACACAAAGTGAACAGTTTGTGGCAAGTTTGATTTAAGGTTATTTTTATTCAATGTGTCTACAAAACAGTTGAAAGAAAGGACTCAAACAAGTCAAATGATAGTACCGCTTCTCGAAGAGATACCTTTTGAAGTACCTTTTGATACTACAAAAGGTATTTGCTTACCAAAGACTCAAATTGAAAAGCAAACGACAATTCTGTACTAGTTAAAATTGTTTGAATTAAAATTCAAAACACAAACAGAAAACGAACGAGGACATTTCGATACAAAATAAGCGTGCAAAATGACACTAAAAATATAGGTTTAAACATACTTTCATCGGCATAAATTGTTGATGGAGACGTAGTCTTTTCTCTGCAACAATACAGTCATTTCTTGTCAAAAGTACAACGGACGATTGAATTGTCGTTCTCTGAATGACTTCACACTTCAAACTCGCTTATTTGCCTTTTTTGATCGCGATAGTCAAGAACTGGACTAAACGACTTCTATTTTCAGCACTTAAATCCTTTCGAATTGTTCATTGCTTCTAAAAAGTGAAGTTTTATCCAATTTAGCACTAAAAAGTTTGCAAAGAAATGTTCCTCGCCGTCTTCGACCAAATCTGTCGCTTGAAATTTGCTCGAACTGCTGATGTTACGCTAAATGTGATTGGCTCCTTGATGATTTTAAGGAGAATTGAGCAATTGATCAGCAAAATCAAAATAGTCAATTTTTTTCTTTTTTCCTTTATTAAATAGATTTTTGCTGCGGCTCGAGATTTTCTACGCCTTTTTCGTGTTCTCCCAACATCCCGCGTGGTTTATTTCACCAGGAACGCACGAAAATGTGTTGTTTATAAATGTAGTTATTTTGTAATTATTTAAATTTGTCTTGAAAATTTCTTGAGATAAAAAGGCGAGTGTCAGTATTGTAGTTTGATAGTTTTAAGAAACAATCCGCATTTAGTA